AGCTAGTTAATGTACAGTTTTCAACACTGGTAGTGTGACATAACTGTCAGCTAGTTAATGTACAGTTTTCAACACTGGTAGTGTAACATAACTGTCAGCTAGTTAATGTACAGTTTTCAAAACTGGTAGTGTAACATAACTGTCCAATGTACAGTTTTCAAAGCTAGTTATAACTGTCGTTACACTACCAGTGTTGAAAACTGTACATTAACTAGCTGAAGCTAGTTAATGTACAGTTTTCAACACTGGTAGTGTGACATAACTGTAACATAACTGTCTAGTTAATGTACAGTTTTCAACACTGGTAGTGTAACATAACTGTCAGCTAGTTAATGTACAGTTTTCAACACTGGTAGTGTAACATAACTGTCAGCTAGTTAATGTACAGTTTTCAACACTGGTAAAAAGATGGTTCCACCCAAATAAAAAGTAATTGGGCACCCTACACTTATTTCCCCATAATTGTATGTCTCTCCCCTTGTCGGGCCCTTAGGGCACCCTTTTGGCTCGGGCCATCCTACAATTGCTGGATTACACTACTGAATCAGGAACTTTAATGACAAAGTCAATATATCAATATTGAAACTTAAAATAAGAAAAGTGCCCAAAATTTTGAGGGTTTTAAATATGCAGTGCATAAATCAAACGGAAAATATATTGGGGTTGAGTTACCCACATTATTTTATAGGGTTTATCATATTATGATTCATTACTGTATCTGGAGTTGAAAAAAAAAACTATCAGTACTTCCACAGTCACAGTAGTTAAAACATGATAATAAATCAATTCATCTCTGTTGAAAAAATAGTCTCATCTTCATCCTGCAAAAAAATCATTTTCTCTGCAGTTTAGGATAGCTTTGTCAAGGGAGATAGCCGAGGAAGTGACTTTTTCAAAGTTTGTGCAGCTACGAGGTGTCTAATTGTAGTGTGTGCTTGAAATTTAGTCATTATGTTAGTGTAACTGTCAGAGTAGTTATGCCACTGACCTGATTTTACATGAATTGTGCACTATTCTAAGTGAGAATCCCACAAAATGGTTACACACCAATTCTCATTTACCGATACATTTTACATGTACACAGGAATGTAAGAAGGCAGGAAATCTGAGAGCATATAAAATCTAATACTAAAATTAGTGAAATTCTCTCCTAGTTATATTTCCTCTCCAAATATGTCCCTAGCCCACATCCAAACAACTGTAAAATGTTCCAGATATAAAGCATGCTGCTGGCCAGGGCAGAACAATATGGCCAAAATCATACATCTAGCCACACCCAATGCTTTTTTAGATGTACTTTAAATTTTACCATGCTGTTGTCATCTTCTCTATCTGTCATACAGAAGCATTACTTTTTGCTACTCCTTGGTAGTCTTACTCCTATATATAAGAGTCCTAGCAAAGAGTTATAGTAAGTGTTGCTTTTGAAATTAACATTTTTAACAGTAAAATGGAACTCGGATGTGACCAATTAAAGTTTCGTTAGGTAGCAAGTATAACTGGTTAGAGGAATGCTATTGGCTGAAAATAATTGATTTATTATCTTTTAGTTTGAAAGTATAAACTTTTTGTTTGAATTCTTTAGTTTATTACGTAAACTAGAAATCAAAGAACACGCAACTTGCTGATAGTAAACAGAAAGTAGAGAGATAAAAGCAAGGAGAAAGAGAATTTTATGAAATATTTGCAAAAGCTAAGATGCACTACAAGTTGAATACAAATTAAGTATCTTTATATTCTCAGTAAATTCATTACTGTTATTTTTAATTAATTGAAATAATTTTGAAGTGAATTTAATAACTAAGGAAAATGTTCTTTACCAAGCGTGATTACAACGATTGAGAAGAGGTTTGACATTCCTAGTCGTGTGTTGGGAGGAATTGCTAGCACTTTTGAAGTCGGTAATTTGTTGACGATCATCTTTGTAAGCTACTTGGGAAGTCACAGACATATTCCTGTTTGGATCGGAAAAGGTATCTGTGTTTTTCCCATTCATTACAGTTTTTTTCACATACATTTTCTGATTCCCGTACATTCCTAACATAACAAAATAATTTGATGCATTATTAGTAAAAAACTGCTTCTTTGCCATCTTATAATGTAACAGCTGGAGTTTATGATTTGAACATAAGCTTGTGTGTTTTAGAATTGGATAAACTTATCAAAAACATGTTGTATTTTATGCAATGTTATTTTTTCAAAAGTTAACAAAGTATAAATTTCCAGTCTTCTTAGGCTTAATGTATTATTTATTTTTGACAGTGTGAGTTCTAGAAGTGGTGTCTTGAATGAATCTACAATATTAAACTTGGCATACTCAAGATATATAAAGTTCTCTTGTTTCTGAAATAAGCCCTGAAATTCAGAGATAAATATGCATAGTTTGGAAATGCTACACACCTCTCTGCACCATAAAAGCTATTATCTCTTGCATGCTGTCGTGTTCATTTCCACACATGCTGCAAGCCTTGAACAAAGCTCTCTGTCTTGCATGTGTCAGTCTATGATGTAATTATCCTTAGACTATAACCCTCTACCAATACGAGAGTGACACATCCTCTGTGCACAGTAATTCCCATGAGTAGTAGCGCGTGAACACAGGCTCGTTCTTTACCAGAATTGTTGTGCCTATTATTTTCACCTTATGTTACTGTTCATCACATAATCTTTCTTTAACTTTCTTGATTATATGAAAGAATGATACTATATTTCAAACTTCCCACTTAGAACTTTCATTTAAATTATATTTAGTGTGATTTTTATTTTCACCGACTTTGTACTTTTTGTACGCTTCTTATTATCTGTTTCTGTTGTTTAATCAAACATATGTATTTCTTCCATTACTCTTTATTGATTCATTAGACCTATGCATCATTGCCATGCCTGATTAACAAAACAAAAAAATCTGTCCTCTACATACTTTACAAAAATGGACCACCACAACATCAGTTTCTTGTGGTGTAATCCTACTGGTACGAGACCGAGTGGACACACTACTTGTTTGAAAAATAGAGCTGGGATGTTACCAGTACAGAGGAATACCCAGTGAGTTATGATCCAGCCAGATGGGTCTTAAAACCTACTCTGGACACGTTTTAGCCCACTCCTCATGGAACCCCTTCAGACCACCCGACAAGTTTGGTCCAAAACTGTGGGAGGAGTTCATAGTCAAACAAATTTAAACACAATGTGAATTAAAACAGGATTCACCAAATTCTGATTTGTAATTCATTGATTTTATTCTGTTTCTTTGTAGATAAAGAAAAACTTCCTCCACTTCTATCAGCTGGGCACTATAGTAAGAGTGCTCTAACCAGTTATTCAGCTTTACATAAGCTTTAAAACAAAGATTCTAACTAAGGGTTTGGAGGTGGGAAACCCAGAGAAAGGCTTAGCATGTATCAAGCCTGATATGTCATCTCCAAACTAAATGATGTTAGCACTTTAAATATGCTGAATAAACCACCTTTTAAATATGATTAAAAAACAAACTGTATGTGTTTATTTAATATGTTGTGAACTGTTTCATTTACATTGGTTGATATTATGTGTTGTTTTCAGGTTGTTTAATAATGGGTGTAGGATCTCTGGTGTTTTCCCTCCCATACTTTCTGGATCAACCAAGTTCCAGCTATAACTATGTCAAAAAACATGGGCCAAATGCTTCTCGTTTCCTGGATGAAAACACGTGTCGGATATCTCCAGTGTCCGTCCATGCTGAACTGCAGGGTGGTGGGTAAGTATTTTTCTTAATTCTTTAAATTCTAATGTTTTTTTTTTAACCAATGTGATAAGAGATTAACAAATGCGAGCAGTAAGTTGACTACAGTTGCTATGTTTTCATTATGCATGGTATTTCTTATTTTGTGGTCATATTAGAATTAATCATAAAGTTATATTTGTTTCTTGAAATTGACATACCTTTTTATTAATGTATGCAAAATATGAAGCACAACTTACAATTGGGAACAGAATAACTGGAGGTTTTTTCAGTTGTATTTGTGTAGTAATATCAAATAAAGATCCCCAAGCATACTATTTGGAATCATTTGAAATTTAATTTATAGTCCCAAGCCACCTTGTCCATGTTTGTTTATGCTAAGTATGTGCTGTACTTAACTTGCACAAGCCTTTGGCTTACTTTTAATTTTTGAAATCTTTTAAGGTAATACCAGAATTATTAGTATACTTTTTTATATATTTTGTGTAAACATTTTGAATTTTGCACAAAGACTATTATTAAAATTTAAACTTGTAAGTTTCATAAGTACATATATAAATACATTATACATATATATCTGATTTTATAGTTTTTGAAAACTTGTACGTAATATCGGAATATAGTTTAAAGGTTTCTGTTAAATGCTTTTAATATGCTACTTTTTTGACTCTGTACTAACCACAGCAGTATTTATGTATCATTTAATACACCAAGGCTTAAGTACCTAAAACTTTTAACAAAAGGTATCACAAAATGGAATAACTCACTAGGCCTAATTGTTAGAGTACAACATTTTCTACTGGTATTAAATTATCTTATAGTGATTAATATTAGATTTATTCAAAATAACAGTTTGTACTTAAACCGTTACTTGTACGGAGTACTCTAGCAAGAAATAACGGAAGTCTTGTTTGCATATTTTGTGTATCTACAATTAACTTTTCCACTTAACCATTTCCAACAATTCAGTGTCCCCCTCTCATCCTTGTAGCTCTCCACTTAACCATTTCCAACAATTCAGTGTCCCCCTCTCATCCTTGTAGCTCTCCACTTAACCATTTCCAACAATTCAGTGCCCCCCCCCCTAAGTTAAGGAGCCCAAGACTGAACACAATACTTCAAATGTGGCCTAACCAGTGAGCTGTGTTAGAAAAGTTTCTCACCAGTACATATATTACAAGGTACTTAAGTTTCATCAGTACATTCACAGTTCATTCTTAGTTACTGAAATTTAAGACTTATTTATATAACTTATAAATAAAACTTATTTATATAAAAAAAAAAACTTGTAAGTTATTTTAAAGACACGTTTTCTCTTTCAGGTCACTCTACTTCAAGATGGCTAAAGTTCAAAGATCAGGTCACAAAGTACTATTTCTTTTCAGCACATTGAACTGTACATAAAAACTTCATATGGGAAAAGGTATGGGCCTGAAAGTAAACAGTAAAGGCTAATTTAAGAATCACTCGGTTTACTTATTGCCATCTTCTTCCTGGTTGTAACCAAAATGACATCAAGTTGTTCTGATCTAAGTGCCCATGGGGGTCCATATGCTGGGACAATATCCAGAGAAGAGGCTATTCAGTATTGGCGTTCTCACAGACGCACCAAGAGTGCTGGCAGTAGCACCTCACGGGACCTCTCTCTTTACACCAACATGGGTCTCTATAGTCATCACGTGACCACGAGATTGGTAAAGACAGAAACTGTAACAGGTGATTTTGTGTCACTCTACAAAACTGCCGAGTCCTCAAGTGCTAGCACACATGAAGTTGTGAAAGTGTTGGAGAAGACTGAACGTCTCTGTTTAGATCTAGGGGCTGAAGGTATGTGTTGGGACTTATTACTTCAAACCTTAAAAGTATTTCCTCTATTAGTGGCTACATTTGTTGTTTATTATTAGTAGACACTAGTAATATAACTGTTTTTATCATCATTTAGAGGACCTACTTGATAGAGAATGTGGTATTTTAAACCTCCGTCCACGATGTGTGCAGCCTTTTGCTAGAATTCGTATTTTTGTCTTCCTGTCTTGTGTTCTGGTCACTCTACAACAGGCTCTTTCTTCGGGCTATTTTAACAGGTAAGATTTTCTCTAAACACCTTTTTAAAACAATGATAACAGATGGATATTTTTTTATTGTATAGATGTAGTAGAAATTATTTCAGTACAGATTTATTGATAAACCATCATATCAGTGGGGAAAAAACACTTGTAAGTTTTGTAAGAATCTTTTAATTTTCTGTTATTTGTTTTAGTCTGATTATAATATATTTTTGTAGCCTAAATAAGCACAATTATGGTGGCCTAGTGAGAGGTTGATAGTTCCTTTGATGGTGGGAAATGACAACAGTGCACATAAATGACACTAACAATAACTTTACTAGCCTTTTAAGCCCCAACGCTGTTTTGTAGCTGGTAGAATAACTATCTGCAGATACTTTAATCAGTGCCTTCTATGAAGTAGCCCACATCCAAACAATTGTAAAATGTTCCAGATATAAAGCATGCTCGTGGCCAGGGCAGAACAATATGGCCAAAATCATGCATCTAGCCACACCCAATGAGACAAAGCTGTTTTGTAGCTGGTAGAATAACTATCTGCAGATACTTTAATCAATGCCTTCTTTGAAGGGGCTACAAGGATGATACCTGTGATGGAAATATTATCATATGAGAATAGGTCAAGATCTCTGGACTTGTTTTAACTTGGAAAAAAAAGAAGCATTCGAGAGAATCTGATTGAGGTGTTAAAGATTGTTAGGGGAATGGATAATGTTGATGCATCATCTTATTTTCATACTTAATAGTGAGAATGTTAGGACTAGGGGACAAAAATATAAATTCTGGCAGGGATGAAATCATCTTCAACTAAGACAGTTTGATTTTCCCAACAGGATGATTGGCTTTTGGAATGGGTTATCTTCAGTTGTGGTGGATGCAGTTAAGCAGGTTTAAGGAAAAGATGATAAATATTTGGAAGATAAGGGCTGGCTTTGAGTGTTTTATTTTTATTTTAAAGTTTAGCCTAGTGTATGGGACACCCTAGATGAACCAACAGGTCCCTCTTTGTCCTTAAATTATATGTAAAATATGTAGAAAACAAAAATAATTTCAATTTTCACAATTTGATTGATATTTTATTAATTTCCTACTGTTTGTCATCCCCAGGTTACTACAATTTAGTACTAGATAATTTCAATTACAACGTCATATCTGTACTTCCGTAAGCCTAAGTTGACCATTTATCATGTAATCCTGGTCAAATGACTCAAATATAATGCATACTTTTAGAAATAATCATGCTTAAATTTCTGAGTATATATGTGTGTGCGTGTGTCAGTGTTTACGTATTTATATATATTATAAATATATATTTTACAGACTTTATATTTGATATATCTGTTATTTACTATTCAAAAGTAAAGTTCTTTCTTTAGGCTAGTTTTTTAAAATGTCTTGTGAAATAATTCATAGTCTAGTTAACTTAATGATAACAGATTAGGTTATTTATTTCTTAGTGTTACTACAGGTTTTTACATTTTTACACTGCTGTAACAACTGTCTTTTAGATACCATGCTAACTGTACTATGGCAAAGGTAAAATTAACCCTATGGAATTTCACAGCTGACTGATCAAATACCTGAATGTGTTCATCATAACTAATGACCTGATTGACTAGTCCCCTTTTATTTATATCTGAAATCTCAATTCTAAATATTTATCAAAGTTACTAGATTCCTAACATCAAATTTAGAACTTTATAAGTTTTCTAGGCCTACTTTTATGTCAGATGCAATGTAATTAACACTTAAATTGAAACATGAAAAATGTAACTTACAACACTAGAATGTTTGAATCTTACTGCACAGTTGTATAGCACAAAATACGTGGATATGTGGTACAAAAAATAGGCTTCTTTTACATCATATCTCTGTGGAGCTACATTAAATATTTTTTATATAGCGAGTTCGACCCAAAGAAGGTTGAGAACCTGTGTCCTAATTCATCCATGTTCTTTTGGGGTGTGTTTTGCAGGGGGGGGGGCATACCCTTGTATAGTTTAACTGTTAGACCAACTCATCATTATTGTGTGGTACTGTGACATACCCTTGTACAGTTTAACTGTTAGACCAACTCATCATTATTGTGTGGTACTGTGACATACCCTTGTTTAGTTTAATAGTTAGACCAAATCCTTCTGTAGTGTCATATTTTTGTTTTGTTTCAGAATACACACACACAAAGGTTGTATCTGTGTACATATTTCAGCCATTTTTTAACTACATGAATAGAAAATCAAGTTATCACAGTTTAGATGAAACAAGATATTATAGCAATCATGTGTTTGACATTATTGAATGTTGTGTGGTCACTAGTATATTGCAAAATGTACATAATATCAAGGTCTAATTAAAAACACATTTAAACCATTAATATATAAACAATATTCAAGCAGGTAATTTGTAAACTTCTGATGATTTGTGATAGGTCTGAAGTAGATATTGAATACATATGATAACATCATAGTTTGTCATGATACAATTACCAATAATGTTTGTGCTAACATGAAAAAAAACAACACAAAATTGGGAAACTAAACAATTGTTTCAGACAAATTAGCAAAAGAAAAGAAGAGAAATGAGTAACTATGATAAGTCGTACTAAGTAGGAGACCGAGTCTCGAGTTATTTTAGATCAGGTTTTCACGAATCAAACCGTGTTTCACCACTGAGTACATGTTCTATACAGAGGAGAGATGTAGATTCTAGCTGATCAATATTATCTGTTACCATGGTAACTAGGTCAGCGTTTCTCTTATTGATTCAGCTAGTGGGAAAGTTTCACTGGTGATGCAAGCAGGGGCGTATGTAAGGATTCAACGGTACTGCTGAGTGTTTATTTGCTTTTAGTGCCATTTTGTTGTCCTGTTAATCAAAGATGAACATTTAAAATAAAAGCATCACTTGAAAAAGACAGTTTGTATGAGATGTAATTAAATGTTATGAGGTCGTTACAAGAATACTGTCTTATCGTGAGGAGATTTCTCATATGCTGCTGTAAAAAATAAATTTTGAAAGACAAGTATATGAATCGTAATGTAAATATAGAGTGTAGTTGTATAGATTGATGTAAAATAAAACTACGTTGTTTAATAAAATCTCATCTTACTTCGGTAATTCATGTGTAGTTGTAAAGATTGATGTAAAATAAAACTACGTTGTTTAATAAAATCTCATCTTAGTTCAGTAATTCATTCTTTTGTTACAAACTGAATGTATTTTTAATTTGAGGAAAATGTTATATAGTTTGACTTTTAATCATTCTTCAATTTCTCATTACTAGAAGTTCTAATTCATAAAAATTGTAGACTTCAGTCTTGAAAATCAAGTTCAATTTGAACATTTCTTTCTATTTATTATTACAACTTTAAAAAACTTTTATCACTAATGATGTAAGACTAACAGGTCTTTAATTACCAAGACAATTTTTGATCACTTTTAAAAAATGGAGTAAAATTAGTCAAATTCCAACCTTCTGGCACATTTCCACTGTTCAAGGATTTGGAGAAAATAATGGCAAATGGCTCACATATCCAATAAACATTATTAACAGTATCCAGTAGTATAGTTTAAAATATTCCAGCAACATGAGAACAACAAATTCAATATCTTAGATGTTCGAAAATAGTTAGATGTCTTGATTTCACAACTTGTATAGCTTATTTTATTATATACCAATTTAGGGATTCTCAGCCAGATATTGTGTGGTACTGTGGTGTGGTACTGTGACATACCCTTGTATAGTTTAACTGTTAGACCAAATCATCGTATGAAATATGTTGATTAGCTTTCTTTAACATCTTGTGTGAAATAATATGTTGATCAGCTTCTTTAACATCTTGTGTGAAATATGTTAATCAGCTTTCCTTAACATCTTGTGTGAAATATGTTGATCAGCTTTCTTTCACATCTTATGTAAAATAAAATAATACGTTGATCAGCTTTTCTATTTGAAAACCAAATGCCATGACCACTTGTAAGCTTTTAATTCTCATCAACTTAATAATGTTGATTTGTTAGACAAAACCAAACCTAATGAATTTTTGATGCATGTGTGGTACTGTGACATACCCTTGTATAGTTTAACTGTTAGACCAAATCATCATATTTGTGTGGTACTGTGACATATCCTTGTATAGTTTAACTGTTAGACCAAATCATCATATTTGTGTGGTACTGTGACATACCCTTGTATAGTTTAACTGTTAGACCAAATTATCATTATTGTGTGGTACTGTGACATACCCTTTTATAGTTTAACTGTTAGACCAAATTATCATTCTTGTGTGGTACTGTGACATACCCGTGTACAGTTAAACTGTTAGACCAAATCATCATATTTGTGTGGTACTGTGACATACTCTTGTATAGTTTAACTGTTAGACCAAATCATCATATTTGTGTGGTACTGTGGCATGCCCTTGTTTAGCTTAACTGTTAGACCAACTCATCATTCTTAAGAAGTTAAAGAAAGCTGATCAACATATTTCACACAAGATGTTAAAGAAAGCTGATCAACATGTTATTTCACACAAGATGTGAAAGAAAGCTGATCAACATATTATTTCACACAAGATGTTAAAGAAAGCTAATCAACATATTTCACACAAGATGTGAAAGAAAGCTGATCAACATATTTCACACAAGATGTTAAAGAAGCTGATCAACATATTTCACACAAGATGTTAAAGAAAGCTGATCAACATATTATTTCACAC